TTTGCACAGTACAAAGTATTTCGCAAGAAATTGTAATTGTAATAATTCGCTAAGTTGGAAATTATGTGAAATTGTGCTACAAATGGCTAGAAGTTTAAAAATGTTTTTAAATAGGATTACTTTTATTTTGTATTTCTTATTTGTTAATCAATGAATAATGTTACTAAGTTAAGATTTTTATATTTTTACACTTTTTTTTTTTACATTATCTTATATACTTTTTTTACATTTTACTCTTATTTTTTGTAATAAAATTTTATGTCTTATTTTTAAGGGGGGAGTGATGTAGCAGGCTTAGTTTAGACGGTCTGTGTCGAGTCGTCGCACAATAAACAGGTTGCAAACTGTCGTGTCTTATTAATAATTATCACCACATAATACCACATATGCTCTATATAAGCACAGACTCCACAAGACCATGGCCATCGAGGAGGTGGCTCCGGTGATTTCGGGGCCTGCCGCGTCGAAAGACACGATGCCCGCACCCCAGCGGGCACCAGTAAGGAGGAGGGGCGCCGTGTCACCGGCGACATCCGTTCGCCACTTGCGAATATGGCTGCCACGGCCTAGGATTGCGGAGCCGCCTCTTTCGCCCCCGCGTGCGTCGTGATCGCAGAGGCCATACAATATGGCTGCTGGGATGGCGGGGGGGTGGATGACTGCCTCCCAAGCAGAGAGGAAATTGTGGCCTGCATCTCGCGGGCGGTGGCGGTTGAGGTCGGCAAGCACTTTGCCAGCCTCGAGGATTCGTTCCGGAGACTGCGTCTCGGTACCAACAGCCGCAGTCAGCCCACGGGATCGGGCCGCTCGGCCGACCTCCGCTCCTACCCCACCTGCGAGGGTGGTTCGGCGTGGAGGCCGGAATCAGAACAACAGGGGTGTGAGGGACCAGAATCCCGCCCCGCGGTCCCAACCACAGCCTCGTCCCCTTCCTCCTCCCCCATCAAGCATGGACGAGGGCTGGACGGAAGTGGTGAAGCGGGGCACCCAGGCATGGCGACAGACAGCGGCTCTGGCAGCTCCCCGGGGGAGTCAAGCGCCGACCGCGGCAGCCCGTAAAACAGCGCTAGCGGCCGTGGCTGCTCCCCGCGAGGGTCGAGCACCGGCCGCTAGCAAGAAGAAAACTAAGAAGAAGAAGCCGCGCGCAGCGCGGTCGGCTCCCGTTGTAGTGACATTGCTGCCGGCCGCCGCCGAAAAGGGCCTTACTTATAATGATGTGATGGACCGGGCGCGTGCGGCTGTAAATTTGAAAGAAATCGGGGCAGAAGAAGGCCTCCGTTTCCGGCAGACTGCCAATGGGGCGAAGCTGCTGGAGTGTCCCGGTGCCGACAGCTCTGGCATCGCAGAAAAACTAGTGGCGACGCTCCGCGTGGCGCTGCCGGAGGAAGAGGTGCGCGTGCGCAGGCCGGTGAGGATGGCCGAGATTAGGATCACCGTCCTGGACGACTGCGCCACCAAGGAGGAGGTGGCAGCCGCTATAGCCGCCCAGGTACAACAACCCTCTAAGTGTTTCGGGTCCCCCTCACATGTCGGTCTGGGGACCGGCGAGGGGGGCCTAAGAAAATGACGTGCAAGCTGCTCTGCACGCGTTTGACGCAAGAGCATGGAAGGCCGGCTATCCTCGACCCACGCTGGTTCTGGTCCAACGGGGTATTCCGTAGGATAGNCCTAACCCGAGCACGTGACCGACGCACATCAGTACTGCGAGAATCACGCTGGTCTCGGACCCGTAAGCCATCCCGTGAAGTACGACCTCTATCGTTCGTATCGCGATTTTGTCTATCATCTCTGTGATCGCGAAAGCATGTCGTTTTCGATTACAAGAATCATCTCGAGACGGTCGCCTCCGTGTACTAGGAGTTTCAGTATGTCTCATAATCACAGTTAAAATTTGCAATCACACAATAAAAATAACAAATAAAGTATGAAAGCATCAAAGTAAGCAGTCATTGTAAAACAAAACAAAGTTCAGAGTTTTACGCTACTGTGGGCTATTTGAGTCCTTTATCCCACTTCTGATATTAGGAATCAGAAGTGGAATGTTATAAAGAAATTATTAAGTTAACCTCTCCCCAGTGCGGTGTCCTCTGAGCGGACACCACAGATACGTGAAATGTCAAATCACATTTATCTATCAACAGTGACCCGTCCGCTCAAAGGACTTCAAACAGACGCGGCCAGTGGCGGCAACAGTGCCGCGTCCGCTCAGCGGACTTCCTATATTAAGGGCTATTACATTATTTTACTAGAGTTCTCGTTCTGAAGTACTTTAAAAATCGACTAAGCATGAATAGGTTCGCCTTATTACATAAAATTTGTTTGGTCTGTGGTACAAAAATTTTTCAAGATCGTTGATTTAGTTGGTGGCAATTTCAAACAGTGTTTCCCGCGAACTAGTCGGTCGTGCAACTATTATTTGTTTTGAAAAATTGTGTTCTTGTGCTGAGAAATATGCAACAGTAAGTATTATTTAATTTTATTTACTAATAGGGGTATATCCTTTACATTTTAAGTTAAAAACCACTGTCGAAGCTACGACTAAGTCATTTTTCGAAGTCGTAAGTGGATTTTGTTTTGTGATATCTGTTTGAAAAATTATGAAATTTATTAAAATTATTGTGTAATCAGATCATTATATAGTGAACTTCAATCTAATAAGTACAAAATACGTGTATTTTAGTAGCAAATGTAAAAAATTCAACCGTTAAGATACGAAAAAACCGTTAGGTCCGCTAAGCGGACTTACCACGGGCGGCTCAAATAACAAAATGGCCGGCGGAAAAAATATTATGGACATGACCTTTGAATTTCATATGAAATTATTTAATGATTTTTTATTTTATTTTAGATATTTGATTATTTTTTTACATATTTTATATTAGGATACCAGATTCTTCACATAGGCCAATCATCTTTATTTTTTAATTTTTTTCTTAGCGATTAGATTTTTTAAATGTTTCTTTGTAACTTATAGTAATTTTGATTAGATTGATTGATTTTGGTTGATTTTAGCACTTCTAATGTTCAAAATTTTTTAACCATGCGTGTGTTTATTTTGCGTGCTCAGTTTGTTTATGTTGGCTTTATTTTGCACAAAATAGTACTAGTAAGAAATGTGAAGCAAGTGGGCGTGGGCTTCTAAGAGGTGGTGGTAGAGCCCGTTCACGTGGCGGTGTGGCAGCCCGTGGCGGTGTGGCAGCCCGTGGCGGTGGGGCAACCCGTGGCGGTGCAAGGACACGTGGCGGCCAAATACGTCGTGTCCCGGACAGGCCTTCGGTTTCTGAGCCGTAATAACTTTTTTTTTTTTAAACTAAAACTCAATTTTTATTTTATTATAATATATTGTAATTATTTGTATAAGTATTGGTTTATCGTTTTTCTTTTATCTTTTTTTCTTGTAACTTGTTTATTGATTTATTCCTTAAATATTTCTTTTAATGTCAATGCGTATTTCAGAATATTCTCTAATACATTAAATAATGTACCAAGTGGAGAACCGTTAGAGACTCCACTCCACCCTAAAAGGGTAAGGGTGCTCCCGCCTGTGGTGGAAACAAATCCAAGGTGACTATTCTGATTGATATTTATGTTCTTGATAGTAAAACAAATATCCTTATTGAACAAATGTTTGTTATGGTTTTCAGAGCAGAGTCTATATGGTCATCCATGGGGGTGATCAACCCAAAGATACCATCCACTTCTCGTGGACACGAAAACATGCCTGCGTAAGTATTTATCAAACAATTTTTTACACATTTGTTTGTTTTCTTAAATTTATATGTAATTAAATATTTATTTAATTTTTCAGAAGTCCGGTTGAACATGAAGTTGAACATTCTTTAAAAAAAAGTGGTCGACCACCGTAAGTTCATCTCGGCTTACCACCTACAAGATAAAATAATTACTACCATTGAATAAAATATACTTTTCATTTTTTAGAAACCGTCCTCTGCGAGACGAGGAAATAATGTCACTGCTTAATTATGGTAAGACACAAATCTTATTTTTAACAATCGCTGATGTAAAATACCTATTGTAATCAAAACCAGAACTTCTTTTTATTGCTTATGTGGGTAGATGAGCTTACGGCTCACCTGGTGTTAAGTGGTTACTGGAGCCCATATACATCTACAACGTTAATGCGCCACTCATCTTGAGATATAAGTGCTAAGGTCTCAATATAGTAACAACGGCTACCCCACCCTTCAAACCGAAACGCATTACTGCTTCACGGCAGAAATAGGCAGGACGGTGGTACCTACCCGTGCGGACTCACAAGAGGTCCTACCTATTGTAAGTTATTTCCTTTCAGGCAGCGAGGAGTCTTCCTCGGATAATGAGAGCGAGGAGATGGTGCGGCCAATGATATCTCGGGTAGATAGAATACGCATCCAAGAAACATACGAGGAATTGGACACGCCCCCTATCAACATGCCCACTAACAGTGCCCCGACACCCGACTTACCGACGACTGTTCCCATCGAGCCGAATAATAAATATAAATTTGACTGGAGAGCGTTTCCGGAGCCTCAAATTGAACCTCGTTTGAGGCGGGAAACATTCTCGCAGATTAATAGTGGTCCTAAGGTCTCTTTCACGAGTCCATATGATGCTTTCGTTGCCATATGGGATCGGGATATTATTGATATAATTGTCAGGGAGACAAACATTTATGCCCAACAGCTGGCAGCGACTATGCTGGAGAGCGGAGTAATCCGTCCTAATAGCCGGATTACACGATGGCAGGAGACGACGGTTAATGAAATTTATATTTATCTTGCCATAATCTTGTCGATGGGAATGGTCGTCAAAAGTCGGCTTGAAGAGTACTGGAATACCAGTTCTGACGTTTTCAGAACTCCGGGGTTCTCGGATTACATATCATATGATAGATTTATGTTGTTGTCGAAATGTCTACATTTCAACAACAACATAAATCGTATGCTCGAAACGTTACCTAGACCGGAAGCTAAAATATATAAGATTAAACCGGTGATTGAACACTTAAACTTAAAATTTTCTCAACTGTATACATTGGGACAAAACTTGGCCGTTGACGAAAGCTTGACGATGTGGAAAGGTTGGCTGGATATCAACCAATTCATACGTAATAAAGCAGCGACAGTTGGAATCAAGACGTATGAAGTCTGCGAATCCAATAGTGGATACTTGTGGCGATTTGAAGTGCACGCAGGCCACGAGCCCCCGGCAGTTCCAGAAGACAATCCGATCACCGGAATAGTTCCGTCTCTTGTGCTCAGATTACTCGATGGTCTGGAGCACAAGGGCCATACTATCTGGATGGATAATTTTTACAATTCACCAGCACTAGCGCGGGAACTAAAAAGCCGGGGATTTGACTGTGCGGGGACGCTCCGTACAAACCGCCAATTCGTGCCATCGGAATTGGTGAATGTGTCCAAAAAAGATATGGCGGTAAATCACGTGATGGGTTGCACCTCGGGCGACGTGGACGTCATGGTGTGGAGAGATAAAAGCCGCGTAGCTTTTATTTCTACATACCATGGCGTTTCAAGTACCAAGTGTGGCGATACTTTCAAGCCGACCATTGTATTGGACTACAACGTTTGTATGGGCGGAGTCGACCGGAAAGATCAGCGGCTTTCCATGTACCCCATCGAAAGAACGCGGACCCGGGTTTGGTACAAAAAAATGTTTAGGAGACTCTTGAACGCTAGTGTCCTAAACGCACACATCTTGCTAGGAAATCAATTATCGACGCACCGGCAATTCCGGAAGGCGTTGATAATTGATCTGTTATCAGCACACCGCACACTTACACCCACTTCAAACACTATTGCTACGGTGCATGCCCCGGCGCAGTACGACTTGATAAAGACCGGAAAGACGGATCGTTTAAAGCGCAAATGCGCCGTTTGCGGCAAACGGACCATCACGTACTGCAAAGCATGCAACGTGGCTATGTGTATGCTTACATGCTACGAGCCATACCACACTTCACACTAACACTTTACAGGATATTACCGCTTCCTTACACACACACATACACACACACACACACACACACACACACGCACACAAACACACANGCTCTGCCCCTGGCATTGCTGAAGTCCATGGGCGACGGTAACCACTCACCATCAGGTGGGCCGTATGCTCGTCAGCCTACAAGGGCAATAAATAAAAAAATGACATGCACATAAGCGCATCATGTGGAAAGTCCGCTGAGCGGACTTTGGACTAACGGTGCAATAATAAATTTTGATGTGCGCTATGCTTAATTATTTAGGAGATGGCGATAGGCAATCGCGGCAACGCTCGCAAGTGTTAGCGACTCCTAGACACTGCTCTGCTGCGTTTAGAGGTAGCTTCCGTTACTTGGCTTCTAAATGTTGGAACAATATTCCTCCACCTATCCGGCACCAGAGAACACTAAGTTCTTTTATAGCAAATTTAAAATTAAATTCGAAAATATCGATTTTAACTATTTCGTACTGTAATTGTGCATTGCAATTGTAATTTTTTATAATTTAATATATGTATTTCATTGTTTTTATTGTTGTTGTGGTAGTTATTGTTGTTGTTATTATTCTAAGCTCAGTCCCTCCGCAGGTGCCAGCGGAAGATCAGCGCCGCAGTACCGATTGTCTCGGTACTGTTAGGCATTGCCGAGCCGGTAACCGTTTCCAAGCCTTGTTATTTTTCTTTTAATTTTTGTTTCATTTTTTGTAAATTTATGTTTGGAGTAAATGTTTATTATAATTATTATTATTATTACCTTACTTCCAGCCACAAATGGGCGTGCGGAATGTTTTGTGGAATCGTAAACGTTGGATCAAATTTAATAAAACCATTGTCACCGCTATTTATAAAAAGTCTCCAAAAGCATACCAGATATCTTAAACAGTTATTGCTAGCGCCAAGTGTTACAACACTAGAAACAATTTTGCAAAATGGATACAGGACTGTTATCTGTGATTTCTTACTTAAAATCCTTAAAAAAGAAGGCAAAAGAATGTCTGAAAACAATAAGTTATGTGTTGTTATTTTTTTACGAAATAGCATTGAAGAGATTAATTTACGATGTACTTCTGTTAAAGTTGAGGGTTATTTGTTAAAAGTTGAGGGTCCAACGAATGTTGAAGCTCTAAACTTGTTAAAGCGCTTTTGTGGTAACCCTGAAGATTTCAATTATTTTGTAATAAATAACGATAAAGTTTTTATTAATTTCGATGTGCCACATCTTTTCAAATCCATCAAGAATAATGTCCTCAATGATGGTACACTTGTTATGGGAAATAAAAGGGCAAAGTAGTCTCATTTAATTCAGACGAAAAAAACAGAAGCACGCTTCATTTCACAAAGATCACAAAATGACGTAGAACCGAAATTTCGTGTCAGAACGAAGGTTAAAATAGCTGCCCAAATACTGAGCAAAACAGTTGCTGCAATTCTAAAATTACTTTCCCAGATATACAACAGCCGAGATATGCTACAAACTGCAGAAATAATTAAAGATTTAGATCGTCTTTTTGACTGTATAAAAGAGCCATCGTCTCGGCATGATATAAAAAAAAATACTGGGAAAATTTGTATACACATACACTTTTGATCAAGTACAAAGAAAAACTGAGAAACCTTCATTTTTTAAACTCTGACAGTTATTTGACATTAAAAAGCGTGAGATGTATTAATGAATATATCGCAACCATAACCTCTCTTCAACGTATTTGGAGGTATGTAGAGAGCAAAAAATTAAAATAATGAAATCTGAGAAAACTAAATCAGGATTCCTTGGAAATGTTGTTGGGAATTATCAGGCAACACAGCCCAACAAATAAAAACCCTACATGTTGTTGGCGCGCAACCCTAGCGGTATATTCCAAGGTGTCAACCGCATTGGCATTTTTGGCCTATGCTGGAACTCTGTGAACTGCCACCAGGGAGCCAGATTGCAGGCTGTAGGTGCTAAGGCGTACAGCTTACATAAATATCAAGTTGGGTGTAGATTGGTACCCAACATGGATGATCCATGCACTTGTAGCTATTACTCAAAACATTAACATTATAACACGACATTCACTTTACTATATCAGTGTGACATCATGCATTGGAAACATACGACTCGGCGCGTATCACGAACGACGCGCGTGCGCAGATCACTCAGCGCCCCGCGCCAGTCGGTTTGAGATCCTCGGCCGCGAAGCCCGTGTCGCTTGCTTTCCGAACGCTTATTTGCTATCTATCGTTTATCCGCTAACAACAGCTGTTATTGTGAACATTTTGTGTTACGGTTCTAGTCATTCCCACTCCTTCTCTTTTCTATGGTTTTGTGTATGTCTTCGTGTCGTCGACCTATCTTATGTGTTAATTAATAAACTCTTTTGTGCACCGGATATTATTACTACCTACGACACCTGGCATTCCTAACGGACAACTGATATATCTACCATACACTTATAGGCAGAAATGTGTTTGGTATTATTGGGATCTTGTTGCCAATGAATCTAAATGTGATGGAGTTTATCAGAAGCTAGGAAGCACCACAATCATGCATCTTCGTCACAAGTCAACTTTAGGCAACGTGATTCCCTTTTCTTTATCACTGAATTCACCTACAATAATTTTTATTTTTTTATTTTTTTCTTAGATGGGTGGACGAGCTCACAGCCCACCTGGTGTTAAGTGGTTACTGGAGCCCATAGACATCCACAACGTAAATGCGCCACCCACCTTGAGATATAAGTTCCAAGGTCTCAAGTATAGTTACAACCACCTTTCCTATAATTATGCACCTTGGGTCAATCACAGCAGAATATATCCCATCATTTCCTAGTGTGAGAAGGCATGGTGACATATTCTTGAACCACTGCGCCATTGCTAAATTTTGAGAAAGCAGGCCTCTTTGGAGATTTCCAAGTTCCTCTAGAAACATCCAAATCATCAGTGAACTGGTCCTACCCCATACATGAAGTCATTTGTCAACCTGATGGTAGAACTGTAATGTGCCACTTACCTGAACCTGCCTATAGCCCATCGCTGTCAGTTGATTCAAAGAATGTCATCGATGGCAGTCTTGAGTTTTGATAGTGTTTGTTAGAAGTAGAGAAGTTCGTGCAGTTTCAACCATAATGTTAAGAACTGCTGTAATTTCTAGTCAAATAGTAGAAACTTCAACAATTAAGATAGAATATGAGTTCCTGGGTCAGGTGTACTCAAGAGGAGTTTTACTTGCCAAACCAGAGAAGACATTCTCTAAAAAAATGAAGTTGGCCATACAGAGTCCAGACTTTTGGTCTAGCCTGCAGATTTCATTGGGCACAGGGATGTTCTCAACATTCACAATTGCATTAGCTAGAACAATTGCAAGGTATTTTGCATACAAAGAAGGCCTTAGACTTTCCAACAACCTAAACCCTAATGGGGCAACTAGTTGATTAAAAGTACTATTCAACTGCACAATCCCATTCATTCATCCTATATAACTCTTCTGTGGGCGTAGCCCACATAAACACTTACACACAACTGGTACGCATTTACATACACCACATAAACACTTACACACAACTGGTACGCATTTACATACACCACATTACATTTTATTCCGACACAAATTTCAGCCGTGTCGATGCGTACCAGTCGACTACATTGGACACACGAACCCAAAACCGGTTTGCTGTGACGTCGGGCCGATACGTCAGTCAGAACCTACCTGCATCGACTAACGCCCGCTTACGTTTCGTAATGCACCAACGAGGATGGTTAGACACACGAGATAATATACTAAATACATTCAAAGAAGATCCTCTCTTGAAACAGTTGGTAACTCGAAGGTGTACAATATTAAGTAAGTTAAGTTAAGTGTAGATGATGCTAGCAAATTATCATTTATAATTACTTACATCAGCTACCTCATCAGTGATTCTCCTCTTCCATCTGTAAGCCACATACTCGCTGTATCTGTCGGTGAATTAGTTGCACCTGTACTGCCAGACAATTACTTTCTCTCAGCAGTTGCTGCTAATGATAGGTTAAGGAAAGTGATTACATATCTAATGAATAACGAGACTGTGGTAAATAGGAATAAAACTAAATCTCAATTCATCGAGATGTATAACAATTTACCAGAACATCTTCGGGATGAGGACTGGGAGCAACTAGATACCAATGAATCATCCGAAGCTATCTTATCTTCTCATGGTGATAATTTCATTGCTTTCACAAAGAAACAAAGAAGCATTTGTTAATATGTTTGCCTAGGTACTTGAATTGATTTCGATGAGGTGAGAAGTTGTCTGGCAGAGGAAATTGTTATACATTGATAAAAACCAAAAATGAAGATACAACTTAAATTTATTATCTTTTATATTTAAGTTTGTTGCTCATTGTGTGAGCTGTATATGCTTTGTCTAGTTAACACACTAAAAACAATAATGACCCAAAGACCGGCAAAATATTTACTTTTAGATTTCCGATTATAAAACAGCTCCCGCGAGGAAAAATTATTTGGTTTGGAGAACATCTCCCAGAGGCTGGGTGTGTTCTTTTCCAGGGCTGAGATCAACTATGTGACGGGGGTACCTACATTTGGATCGGGTGACAAACTCATTATACTGAACTTTCACAACAGGTTGTAAGTTACACCAACCGGTAGCCGCAGTGGAGAGTATGAGTGACGTAAAGATATACGTCAGGGCGCCATAAAAATAAAAATGAAATGCAGTCATACAAATATTTATATTACTCTAAAGCACACACAAATGCACATATAAAAAAAAAAACAACTACATTCGGGTGCAATGAAATCGCACATCTGTACATTTTTTGAAAAATATTATTTACTTCTTTTTATTTAAAAAAATACATATATTTTTTAACATAAGGTTAAAGGATAGTTCAATACCTATTCAATGATACCACATAAGACATGATAAGTTTACCTGCTTGCTGAAACAAAACGACAACAGCAAACTCCAAAAATTGCTCCCTTAACTCATTGCAGTTTG